AATGAGAGAATTTTGAATAAAATAGGCTATATGAACTACAGGATTTTTCAGTAATCTTATGCACAGCAGGAGAGGTCAGTCTCTTTGATGTCAGTCTCTTAAATTATATTATGACACACTCATGTTGTTTATTTCATGCATTTTTGTTTTGTTTACATCCTGTATGAGCCAAATAGCATAAATGTATTGCTTTGCCAGTTGCTGGCCACTGGGCTTAAGTGGTACATGGTACATGGGCTTAAGTGTCACTGGATTGCAAAGCTTGCCGGTAGGCTTACCGGAGAATGAATTCCTGTCTCCTTTGTGTACTATTAATATGACCTGTAATTGAACCGTGTTCCATGTGGGTAACCGGAAACTCCACATCCGGGGAAACGTCTTTGACAAATGAGAACGTCAGAAATGCATATAAAACATTTTTTTGTTTAGATTTTCTACATTTATCTTACCATAATGTACTTATTATCTTGGGTCCACAGGTCTCAAAACAGATTCATTTCACCGCTGAGCATGTAGCAAACATTCCAATTTGTCTGAATAGCCTCCTGCACGAATGTCCGAATGTTGGAGGATACTAGGGTTTGTCCTCAACCTCCTCCACATTTACTCCTCTCTCTCTTCCTTCGGCTTCCTCCCTTTTTATCAGGGGTCGCCACAGCGGAGTGATCCACACAACGATTTGGCACATGTTTTACGCCGGATGCCCTTCCAGCCCTGCCCTGAGAGGGCACTAATTCGTGCAACCCCAGTGCTGGGACACACTCACTCACTCATTCACACACACACACACACACACACACACACACACACTCACTCACTATGGCCAATTTGACTTTTTCCACATTTACTCCTTCTAATGAATTAAAAGTTTTTTAATGTCCAGTAGGGGGAGCTCCAAGCTACACGCAAAAATAAGAAGAACAAGAACAGCTTGCAACTGTATAGCTGTAGTTCTACTTTTTTAACAGTAGGCCTACTTTTTATTTAACACGATTATCACGAAATTTTAAGGACTTATATTTTTTAAATAAACACAATTATTATTTATTATATATATATTTCAGCTTTTATAAATAGCTATATTTTCACGGTTTAAAAGTTTGACTGAAATGCTTGTATTGAATTATTTTATGTTCTACCAGTGATAAAACTGTGGTAGATGTTAGGTTTTGTGAAGAACTGGTAGGGAGCCTTTGAGCTTCTTTATGAAAACAGACTGTGTTTTTGATTACTATTATATGTTTGAAGTTGAATTATGTTTTGTTGAGTTTTTATATTTGGACAGCGGTCACTGGGCTAGTTTTGTTATGAAGACATGGCAACTCTGGTCCTGGGCCCCTGATTGAGAACCACAGCTGTGTACTGTTCTTGAATTGTATGTTACTTTGGAGATTGAAAAAAAGTCTTGGTTAGATTACAGAATCTTCCAAACAGTGTTGGGAATCCAAAGTCCATTGTAGAAAATCTATGAAAAAATATCTAATGTGTTATATTAATAATGTATGAATGATAAGTTCATTTTTATGAAAAAAATACATTACTGTATCTTTTATGTGGTTTCAGCAAAAACATTTTTATTGATGTCTTTGCATTTAATATACCATCTTTCGAGATAAGAATAATTTAATCATGAGGCGGGAAATAGCGTGCGTATGTGTGAGTTAATGATAGCCTTCAGATAATGTCACCCTTGATGAATGCCTGTGCTTGCTTTTGTGTAAATGAACGGACGTCTATAAATCAGCAGTTGAGCCTAAATATAGTGACACAGAGGCAAACTGCTAATGCCTTCAGCCATACTTACTCTGTCAAACTGGGGCATTGAAATTCATCAGGTTTCAAACCAGAGGGGTGGGTTTTTAGGGCATGACAGCTTTTTTTAAGGTGCTCACTGACATTTCAGGTCACAGTGACTGTCCAGTGTCCAGCACTGGCCTTGTCATTCAGTCCACCCAATTTGAATATACAAACATGATGGTCTCTTTTCATCAGCTTTACTATGATATACAAATATATAATACTAATCTAAGGTAATTAAAGAAGAAAACACACCAACATTATTTAGTTGCCTAACCAGAATATTTAAATTCAACATTTGAATACGACGCATTTGAATTCAACATTTGAATGGGGAATTTGAATCTTTCAAATGAAGAAACCTCTCTTTTTCACTCAGAGATTCACATGTTTGGTAAATAAAACTTGGACCTTCCGTTGTGGATTCCAGGATTTCACTATTTATTTGTGACATGTGTTGTACAAGTGTGTGCGTCTGAGTAAAGGTTACTGCAGGTTGCTTAGGGCTTGCCTAATAAGGAGTGATTTGTTGTTGCTGACTAATCTATGGACTCTGAGATTGCGCAACATCACTGGAGACTGACAATACAGACAGAGCAGGACAGGAGACGAAAGAAAGAAAAAAAAACAGCATAATGCAAAAATCAGCTTAACATAAGTTCGACCGGTGGACTAACCTTAGTATACAGGAAGAGAGGAGTAGCACAAAAAAAGAAGTTACATACAGACTGTGTCTGCCTAGTAGTGTGAACACACGAGGGCAAGAATTTGCTTGCCAACTTGTGGTTGAGTGAAGATTGAAACCCATTCAAAAACTGACAATCACACTGTGTAAGAGAAGAAAGGTACGGAGCACAGTGGTGTAAAGATGCTCAGGAGAGAGATTAGGAGCGCATAGACTGAGAAGGAAGTCGGGCCCCTGACGAGACGCAGCAAGGAGGAGGATAGTGGATCATTATGGGAGTCAAATGCAGGGCTTTTGTTGCCATTGTCTTCATCCTCCTTTTGTTTGGCTCCATGTGGCTCCGTAAGTTTTACCAGCTCTTTCTAAATTTTCCTTTAACAGACCGAATGTAATATATTTGGTTAGATTTTCTGACACACCAAAGCTACTTTATTTCACTGTGGGGTCAGGTTACTAGATTTTTTTTGAGATACTGCTTTATTATTTCAGTGAAACTTGTTATTCAATCATTCAATATCAGTTTTGGTGATATTGAGTTATATCAGTACCTGTTACAGTAGAGCTGATTGACTATAACTCATCAAGAAAATAAACATATAAAGATGCCGAACAGACATTTTACCTGAATTCACATCTTAAATAGATTCATGAGAGAAGTTTGGGTATCTAAAACAAATGCTCAATGCTTTAAAGATTTAGTGTATGATTCATTCATGAATCGGAATGATGTAATTCTCAAGTTCATCTCACTGGCTCAATAATCTGGTCTCTGCGAAAATGATTCAAAATTTTGTTTTCTATGAAATAAATAAAACATGTTTTAAACGACATGTGAATGTGACTGACATAATTTGGAGGTAAGTAAGTACTTGTATAATATTCAGAGAAATATTTACACTGGATAACTTTATCTCACGTAAGTAAGTAACACAGTTCACAGATCTTCTGGATGGGTTTATGTGAAAGCCTAATCAATTTACTATCCATGGCTTTCAGTATTTTTAAAAAACTTCACGAAATAATGAGTTTATGTGATTTAAATATATTAGCCTGCTATTTCTTCTGTCTTTCTGTTTAAAATTATTTATTCTCCCATTCCTCATCCTCTGTATCTCATTGTAGATGGGAATCTGGCGGACCACTGGAATACTTGTCCAAAGGTTTATAGTATGAAAAACAAGGTAAGAGCGGTGATACAACAGAGAACACAAATTAACTCGAGGCTTAAAGTGTCATTTTGAATCTACTCAGAGCTGTTAACAGAAACTTTGCCCATTCATTTTATGGCATCACCCTCCTCTGAAATCTGCCCTTACCTCACTTTTCCATTTCTTCTTGTTTTCTCAGATTCTGTCTTTCATTAGAGTTAATAGTTCAGATGACGATGTGGCTCCACTGAGGGTGTGTCCTGGCCAGAGGTTTCAAGTTGCTGATTTGCTGGCTCACCTGCAGGCAGCTCCAGTCTCAGCCAATGATGTTCTGCTAAAGCCGTACCTGGCAAGCTGGGATGAGCTTATCAAGCAAGTTAACACACATAATTGCATCTCATCATATAGCACGCTAAATAAGCCACATTCTATAATTAAGTCGAGCGAGAGTGCAGCATGATCACGAGTGTAATGTTGCTTTTTTACAACACTTAAAACAACAACAAAATTGATAATCAGTAACTAACACAGTATTGCAGGTTATTAAGTGTAATTCGTTCCAACAATAAATAGCCTATATTTCGCTCGAAGGCAAAGCAAGAATAAATCGTTGTGCATCTCCAAGCATCACACTATAGTGGCCTTTTTGTTCGAAAATGAATCAATATGATGTCGAACGAATCGGTTAAATGAGTGAATCAATAATGACTCACTCAAAACACAGCTACTTGTATTGGTGTAACTTTCAGAAAGAGATACTAGCTAGTAGGTCTACTTTTCGCATACTATTTTATGAATACTGTGAATTCGGACACTCTTATACTAGGGATATATGCATTTTCGGATGCAGGGGCTGTAAAATCCTTACCAATAATGCAGAATCTGATTGTTTGGTTTGAACACGCAAACATAAACAAGCAGACCGATAAAAACAGTGAAAAGTCCAAGTGTGCTTAATAGACTGTATACACTATGTTGCCAAAAGTATTGGGACACGCCTTCTAATTAACAGGTTTGACTACTTTAGTCATTTCCAAGAGTACAAATCTTAATGTTTCAGCATATAATGATATTCTATGGAATTGTGTGCTTCTGATTTTATAGCAACAGTTTGGACAGGACCCTGTTCTATTCTAACATGACAGTGTCTCTGTGTATAAGGCAAGGTTCAAAAAGAAATTATTGATTCAGTCACTGTGGAAGAACTTGACTGGTCTGCAGAAAGCCAAGTCCTAATCCCAGCTGTACACCTCTGGTGTGACTTTAAATGCTGACCTTGAGCCAAAAACACATCACCAAACACCAATGACTTGTACATACACCATATGGACAAAAGTATTGGGACACCCCCTTCTTTAGAACATAAAAAGGCACTTCCAAAACTGTGACAACAAATATGGAAACAATTCATGTATTTAAAAAATTGTATTTCCATCTCTGTTACAACAGTTTTGGAAGTGTCTAAAATGACTGTACCCATATGTACAGTAGCGGTTTTTGGCACGGGCGAACCGGGCAGTCGCCCGGGGCGGCATTTTTTCATGATACATGGGGGGCGGCACGAGCAGTTAAAAAAAAAAAATCCTCTGCGCCGGCGCCGCGAAGCTGTGTGAACGGTATCCATGTCATGAATGAAGGGCTAATGTTAATTTGTGGGTATAACTCTTAAGTTTGTTAGCCTTTTTGCTATGATGCTTGCTATGCTTATACAACAATAATTCGGTTTTAACTCAACAAACACGAGATCTAATTTCACCATAATATTGTGCTTTCAACAAAACTGTTACAAGTTCAGTTATTATTTATTTCCATCAGTTGGGTTAACGTTAGGCCCTGTAATTAGCCAACGGAATTTTCAAATCTGTGTAATTATAATTGAAATCGGACTACTTTTCAAATTGTATTTCATAAACCAACATCTCAGACGTTATGTCAAAACGTTATGGGGTTTCAAATCAAAAAATGACTTTCTGTTACAGAACAGGGCATTGATTTCATACATGTCCACTGTAGAGGACATCAGGACTTAAATCATGTTTATCAGGCATTTTGGGAGACACAACAAGTGAATATGGAAATAAATTATACATCAATATTCCAGCAGAGAGGAGCTTTTCAAAACTAAAGTTGATCAAGTCGTACCTGAGGTCAACCATGTCCCAGGAACGGCTCACTGGCCTTGCCGTCATCAGTATCAATCACTCAATAGGGGAGCAGATTTCACTCGCCCAGGGTGTAATTCAATGTAGAACCGCCACTGCATATGTACATGTCATTGGTGTTCGGTGATGAGATTTTGGCTCAAGGTCTGCATTTAAAGTCACACCAGAAGTGTTCAGCTGGGATTAGGACTTTGCTTTCTGCAGACCAGTCAAGTTCTTCCACACCAACTGAATCAATCATTTCTTTTTGAACCTTGCCTTATACACAGAGACATTGTCATGTTAGAATAGAAAAGGGTCCTGTCCAAACTGTTGCTTTAAAATTAAAAGCACACAATTCCCTAGAATATCATTATATGCTGAAACATTAAGATTTGTACTCATGGAAATTACTAAAGTAGTCAAACCTGTTCATTAGATGCGGGTGTCCCAATATATTTTGGAATGCCAATTGCAACTTTCTAAACGACATAAGTAGAAACAAACACATTAAAAATGTATCTCATTTTTCTGTGCATTTAAGGTTTTTGGAAGCCTTGGGGCCAATGGTGGGTTTAATTTCACAAGAAATTGAGTCGAAAACTGCCATCATCCGTGACCTGGCCCAAAAAGCGGAGAAAGAGCCAGAGAAGAAAATGAAAGAAAGAAAAAGAACGCACCAGCAAAGCGACCCAGTCTTAATGATATCTCATAACAGCTCGTCAGATTACTCTGAAATGAATCACAGACTCTCATTTGGTTATACTTCTGTTCGGTCTATGATTAAATGGGAGCTGGAGAACGGTTTGGTGGACTTCCACAAGCAGACAAACTCGGGCTGCAGGACTCTGTTGCGCTTGCATCGTGCTCTGCTCTGGCTGCAAAATTTCCTGTTGGAACTGGGGAGGGACACAACTGAAGGAGAGCATCTACGAAGCCCTTCTGACCTCTGCAAAGAGACTTACCTGCGCACACTGGCCCACCATCACACCTGGTGGGTAAGGAAAGCAGCGGAGCTGGCCTTTCTTGCTATGCCTGAACGACCTTATTTCTACCTGTTGGTGTGTGTGGAAACGCAGGCAGAAGCTGCTGTGGTGCTGAACAGGATAGTGAGAGCAATAGAAGAAGTGTACGAGAGAAATGAAGTCGCTCTACAGGAACATGGCATGCTGGACCTACCCTGAGCGTAGAAATAAAGAGAGAGAAAATCATGGGAGTGGGACCAACCTAGAGAATAGGGCACTAAATTATAAGACTGGAGCTTTGAACCCTTAAGAGAAAAGAATGACGACTGCTGGATAAATACTTATCCAGGCTGATTTATTTGGTCTTGCTTATATACTCAAAGAAAGATACGTTTTCTTAAAGATTTAGTGACCAATTTTCTTAAATTATTTGAACAAATTCATGACAACTGGAATGGGCCATTTTTATTCTTTATCTGTTTGTAAAAAAAAGGTTGCCAAGTAAGAAAAAAAATAAAACAAACATTTCACTATCAAACTATTAAATTCACAATTACACTATTACAGTTTTGTTGATAAAACAACTAAATATACAGTATACTGTTGGTGCTAATGTATGACCACTGTCCAATACTTGAGTACCTTTTGCATAAAGAGAACACAATAAACCAACAGCACACATTTTTATAGTTACTAGGCAATGGATGAAAATTATGAACTGGTAAACATGCTGTGTTCAGTTCTGTGTTCAGTTTGGAGAAATTGGAGAAAGCCATGCACACATTGATTCTTGTGAAGATATTAGCAGTTTTCAGGTTTGCACCAATAATAGTACTAGTCGATTGTGAAAGATGCATTAATGCATGCTCAGCAAATGGACAGATTTGTCCGAAGTCCTGTTTTAACAGAAGACCTTTTTTTACAATCCTCATGCTTATCAAAAGCAGTTTTATAACGGCGTGACTGATACCTGATGGTTGTTCAGGGGATATTCTCACATGCACACCTACATTTATTTTGGTATCGTGACATAACAAATCAGATAGCAATCCAACTTCTTTTTTTGGTATGTAAAAGTGGCTCTATATGTAGAGCACAGAGGTGTTTAGACAAGTCTAAATTATATTAATAACTTAATTTTTTAATGCTACTGACATGCACTATAGAAACATATGCAATATAAAATTAATGAGAGAATTTGACAATGAAAATATGAATGATTTGTTACAACAACAACATCAACATTAACAACAACAAAAAAGTACCAAACTGTCAAGTACCCTTTCAAAAGGTACACTTTAGGTAATATGTAATTTAAGCACTAATATGTACCATTTAGTGGTAAATAAGATACAGAGATGTACCTTTTAGTTTTTGTATGTCAGGGTATTTTCTGGGAGTGTATTGTATTAACATATGACATCATGTAGTTATGTCTCATTACATTATGTCACATATGTATATTATTCCAGGGAGCCAAAGCTAATGCAAATAAAGTAAGGTCTTCAAATCAAATCCATTTAAGAGACAACTCTTTGTAAAGTCTTACAGGCTGCTGTTACTAATGTGCATGAGCATAATTAATAAGGGCAATATTATACATGACATTGATATTCTCATATGGACAGTGGTAATAACCGGAAAGTGTGTGTAAATATGTGTGTCTCTTTGTTTGTGTGTGTTTGAGAGAGACAGTGACCGTTTAAAACTGTATCCTTGTTCTCTATCTTCTGCAATTCTACGTTATAATTCTGAAAATTATAATGCAGATTATATTGATGAAGAGGAGACAGTGCTCTGTTGTTCATTTTTATTAGGTTTGTTATTTCAATTCATTAGTTTAAGCCTATGAACATATACAGTATAAGGTGTTTAACTTAACTAGTCAATATAATGTCAGGTTCTCATTGTTGATCAAACATTTGAGCACAGTTTGCACAAGGTCCAGTGCTGTGTGAACACTGAGCCATATCAAATGAACTGCAGTTTTTGTTCTGTGATGTTGTTGAGGTGGTGAGTCTGTTCACACAGCCGACTCCATCTGTTCAAACACATCTAAACCACAGCATTTACTGTATACAAAAGTTTTCAAAAGTTCTATTGGTTAATGTTCATAAGAGACTTATTTAAAACAGATCATCCACTTTGACATGACTTGTATTGTCAATGTTAGTTTTATGAAACATAAAAGTTGCATACATTTTGGTATTTCAAAAGCTACAAAGAGGTCCAGATTAAAGTGATGATGATTTATTACATTCTTGGGCTGATTAAGTCTTGTGACCTCCTTGTATTTTATAAGCACTGCAAAGCTTAATATCGAGCCACATTCCCCAGCTGTTACATGCTTTTATTAATAAATGATCAACAAAAATAGAAATATAGGTTCTTTGAAAATATAGGATCTTTTCGATATTGCATGTGATTTTAAAATCCATATAGCCATTCTCATCTATAAACTTATTTAAATATTACAATAAATATTTATCTTCATGATCAGCCAATCTAAAAAAAAATACACATATAGCATGTAACTTTTCTTTATACACTAAAGGGGCTCAAAATATAAATATATTGCTTTTCAGAAGATTCATTTATAATAAAACATATGCTAATTCACTATAAATTGTGTACTTCACCAGTAGAAACAGTTGGTGGAGTGGGAGAGGCACAGCACAACTGTTACACTAGGGGCGCTAGTGTAACAGTGTAACAATGTTACAATGTTACAAAACCATTGTCTCAAAGCCTGCATGCACCAAAAACTTCACTTATAATATATATATTATGGATTTATATATATATATATATATATATATATATATATATAGTCACTTATTCAGCGTTTTTAGGTTAAAAAAACGCCAAGTATTTAAAAAAATAAAATAAAAATCAGATATTAGACAATCAAGTTGTAGAATGCAAATGTTCCACTCTGAATCGTTCTGTGAAAGCTGAGAAGCAGGAAATGCAAATAGTCGATAAAATCTCATGCTCCCCATACAGCTGACACACTACTCTGTAGTATTTACTTCCAGGAAAAACAATAACATATTTTTGACTTTTTTACTCCAGGGGGAACTAGTGTACAGTACAGGGTACACGTTAATGATATGTGATCTGGGGCCTGAAGTAAATGAATATTTAATTCTGTTGATTTGAAGCTTTCTCTGCCGAGTCAGATAACAACCTTACCATGCACAAACATAAAATATGCAATATACAGGCATGTGAAAGTGATCAAGCGTGAAGAAGTGTTTAGTTGCTGAATATTTTTCAGTAAATGAGCTGACACAATTGGTAGATAGATAGATAGATAGATAGATAGATAGATACTTTTGAGGAAATGTCGGTGTAAAGCACCATATCTATTTATGAGTGCGATTAAAGGATTAGGGCATTAGAGGAAGTGTACACACTTGTCAGTTCTATGACACAGAGTGTACTTGAACTCTCCACAAGACACTTCTCAGAATGGAGCATGAGGTGTATGTACTCAGAGAGTGAGTTTAGGAGTTTAAAAAAAATGAGAACTGAGGTTGGTGACCACGTCTTTTGTTTTATTGACTCATGCAGGGTAAGGACTGGGATGGATTCACTTCTGTCTTCCTTATCAGCATAAGCGTAAGCCTGCTGTTCCTGCTCTTAGAGCCTCTCTATCTCTCTCTCTATGGTTATGCTTAGAGTCACTTACAACAAAATCCAAAAAATATTTTAAATGAAAGTTAAATGTGCACAAAGATGAACATAAATCAAATCAAATCAAAACACACATGCAGGAATCCACACATATTCTCTCACACACATATCAAACACACTTTTTCTATTTTCTATTTTTCAGATTTTAAACTGAACCCAGGCCTGCTGTCATCCTCTGAGCCGATGCAAATCAATACAAAACATCATATCCCCTCACCATGTGAGACAATTTGGATTACACATACAAAACAAAAAAAAATAATCGCAAAATACTGCAAAGACCTATTTTTACATATAAACAAACTTAGACACGCCTCATGATAAATGAAACGTGACACACTTCATCATATGAAAGTACAGGCTGTGCTCAAAACCAATAGGAATGCAGAAATGTATCAGTATTCTTGTGTGTGCTGGAGAGGATGTTCATCATGCACAGCATTAGCTACATGTTAGTTTAAAATATCCTCTTCACTTACAAAGCCACAAATCAGACAGAGAAGAGGTTTCAATCCCGCTCTTCACACATGCAAAAAAAAAAAAAAAATCCCAGCAGTCAAGAGATGCTCCAAACACACATGAGATCATGCCACATTAATTCATAGATACCTGCTTTAAAATTATAATAAATGATTTCTGCTGAATTAATACAGATACTGAGGGGAGAAAACAGCATATTTTTTAGGAATTTCTCTCTCTCTTTTTTAATTATATCCCTTTCTTAGTATTGTTTTAATAGAATATATTATTTTTAATAAATAGCTCCGATAGCTGAACATGCCATTCAAATTTTATGTTTCAGAAAATAAAAACTGTGATACACTCTTAAAAATAAAGGTGCTTCACGATGCCATAGAAGAACCTTTTTTGTCTAAATGGTTCCATAAAGAACCTTTAACATCTGAAGAACCTTTCTGTTTCACAAAAGATTCTTTGTAGCAAAAGAAAGTTCTTCAGATTATAAAAAGGTAAGAAAGAGATGATTCTTTAAAGAACCTTTGACTGAATGCTTCTTTGTGGATCCAAAAATGGTTCTTCTATGGCATTGCTGTGAAGAACCGTTTAAGCACCTTCATTTTTAAGAGTGTACCTCAGCTCACACATGCAAACACACACACACACACAGACACTGATGTACACACACAAATGCACACAAAAACTTCATTGCTAACTCCCTACAATCTCACTACAGTCTCAAATGGAAAAAAAATACAGTCTGCTCTGTCTGTGCTGAGGATTGCTTTGTCTGGTTTATCTAGCTGTGCCTTCTGTGCATAATCCTACACTCTTTTAGATGGGGAGGACCTGTGTGTGTGTGTGTGTGTGTGTGTGTGTGTAAAAGAAAATTAAAACACTTTCGCCTGTTTAATCTCTGGAGTTGATCCTCAGTTTGAAGGAAATGCGTCCAGCAAACTTGTCTCGTTCACTACCCTCAGGAATGTTGTTAGCGTTGATTTTGCACTCCACGTTGACATCCTCATTCATGGTGATGTTGATGAACTTAATGGCCACAAGAGGCTGAGAGTAGTTCACCTGCAGCAGAAGAAACAGATTGCCAGAAAAGGGTTTTATCTCCATCAGTTGTTGATTGGATGGAGCCAGATCTGAATGCGATCTTTAGTGGGTTAAGTGGGCTAAATGATTGGAGAATCCAGCATGCATCACCAAAGAGAAGTATGTTCTTTCATTGGAAGATCCAGTTATGACACTTAGATTAATAATTAAAAATGATCCTTTTTAAAAAAGAATAATAATAAAATATATGCATAGATGAAAAATTTACAGTAAGATCAATAATATGCATTTAGAAAACATACTGTAAATTTTCATTTTACACATGTACAGTATATTCTCCATGTGTGTGTGTGTGTGTGTGTGTTGTACCTGGGCTTTCTTGCCATAGTATGGGTAGTACATAAGGTTAAAGGTGCCATTTGGGGGAAAGTACACCAGTTCACCAAGTTTATCTGAGTCATCTGCCTACAGAGGGAGGGAGATATTATGAGTTCATCTCAGCATTTAATCTGAAGGTATCAAGCTGTTTTACTACCACTGCTACTGAATTAAACAAATGAACAGAGAAACCAATCGTCCTTTGAATTGATCTTATGCTGGAATTATCTAGTATATGATCTGAATGTATGAATAATCATTTTACCCTTTGCTGTTTTTAAGTGTAATTAAAGATTTAAAATAAAGACTGGCCTAAGTGTAATTAAAGATTTAAAATAAAGACTGGCCATTTTGGATTCGAATTTGTTGCTCACTGCAGAACATCAAAGATGTAATGCTCATTATAAATTCTCTGCCTCTGTCAAAATGATTATTCTTCATTCTGTCTATTATTCTTACCCACTCATCTTTTCCAACTTTGTATTTCTGACAAGAATGGAGGGGGAGAACAGGTGAGACACACACACACAAAAACAAACAAAAAAAACAAATCAACCTTATGGAACATAAACAGAGATGATGAGCAATGGTGTAAAACAACACATAATAAACAAACACTGAAAAGACACTGAAAACAACAATTCTATGACAACAGTATAGAACAAAGGAGGAGGAATGATGGGTCTATGATGAGAAAGAGCAAAAAAAGGTGTGATGTTTAAAAAAATGGGTGAGGACATCGCAATCGAAGAGAGAAATAGATTGAGGAACATATTTGCATGAGCCTGAATGGCGGTCAATATTCAGTCAGAACCCACTCAAACACAAACATACATACATGATTCAGAGGGCACACACTATTGAGGAAGCTTGGGGAAAGAGTAGGTAAAACTTCCACTCTAATGCAATATAGGTCAAAGTTTGCTTAGAGTGGGGAAACTGACCTAAAGTATGAGAATACAAACAAGCAACAGTGTTGTTATAGTTAACTAAAACTATTAAAATATTGAATTGAAATAAATCTTAAGTAAAATATAAATATTAGATAAAAAAAAAGAGAAATGTTGACTTGGCAGCTAACAGAAATAAAAGTTGAAGTACTAAAATGACTAAAAATGGAAAAATGAAAACAGTTGAGACTGAACCTTGCATGACTGAAGGATGATTCCTGAATACATTCAGACATTTTAACGAATAGGAAATACACAACTGTTCCTTTACTTATTTTCATTTCTGTTTGTTAATTTTTGCATGTGAATCAGCAGCATATAGTCTGTCATGGCAGTTTTTCTCTGAAGCCGGCCACAGTTCTGATTACTGGCTAATTTAATCTGGTGACCTTGTTGAATGGCTCATGTAACTTTAATCTGAAATCAATCCCTTTTTAAAAGACTGAAGGATAAGGAGAGTGAGAGACAGAGGAAAAGAGACCGAGACCTTACCTTAGCACCACATGTGACGTAAGGAGGCTGCCCATCCTCAGCAGGCAACAGACCAATCACCTGCAAAGAAGAATAAACGCAGAGAAAGAAGGATTTGAGATTGAAATGAGAGAGGGAGAAAAAGATGAAAACCAAAGGGAAGAGACAGGTCAAGTCGAGTCTTATTAGAAAACGAAAGTAACTCTGATGAATTTTTAATTATAAACATTCAGGCCGCTGTCTCTGATTCTGTGGTTTCAGGTCAAAGTCTTCACGAAGATAAAACTGTGGGGATTCAATGACCTAAAATCAAATCAGGCATATATTTGTTTGATTACAGTGGGTACGGAAAGTATTCAGACCCCCTTAAATTTTTCACTCTTTGTTATATTGCAGCCATTTGCTAAAATCATTTAAGTTAATTTTTTTTCCTCATTAATGTACACACAGCACCCCATATTGACAGAAAAACACAGAATTGTTGACATTTTTGCAAATTTATTAAAAAAGAAAAACTGAAAAATGCTCAGTATTTAGTAGAAGCACCCGATTTTATCAAATGGCTGCAATATAACAAAGAGTGAAAAATTTAAGGGGGTCTGAATACTTTCCGTACCCACTGTATATACATTTTTCAATAATGCTGGACGTGTTTCTGACACAAACATTTGCTCCACACATGCTTTCTATTTCACGTCTTACACGGTTAAGCTTGATGATAATGCAGGGCTTGCCATCACTGTAACCATAATAACGATCTGTGAGCCCAGCGCAATCCTCCAATATGGAGCGTTTGAACTGGCAGGAACGCTTGGGGAAGTTTTTCAAGCTGCCACTGTCCTCCTGGATGAAGTAATGATCCGGTTTACATTCATAATTCTTCTGGGCCTGGACTGTGTCGTTGTAGGCTGCATACAAGAAGCAACAGGACAAGACCTTCTGTCAACTAAATAGCACGCAGGATTTCAATAGTAAAATGATTGCGGCAGGTTTTGTGCAATACATATAAGGTTATTTGCATGGGACTCACGCGAGAGGAAGTTATTGAGGGCCTGGACGTATCTTTCCCAGGTCTCTGTGTACTCCATGGTGTAAGCGATCTCCAGCTGATCTCCTTTAGGTCTGATCATCATTCCTGCAAAACAAATAAGAGAATAGGAAAATACAGAGACTGTGAGTGTGTAAGCCCTCTCCCCCGGGTCCTCACCGCCACACCTCGTTCTGAGTGGGTCTCGAACCGGGTCTCCGGCATGGGAGGCGGGCGCACTAACAACGAGGCTAAAGACTGCAGCCTCTAGCATCAGTCGCTAGTGCATCTCTTGAGATCAGGGGAGTGAGGACTACCTGCACAGCACCTACTCGCTGGCCTCCGTTACACTCACCCCCCTAAACCTCACTCCCATCTGGGTCACGGCTCCAATGTAACCCCTCTCCCCCGGGTCCTCACTGCCACACCTCGTTCTCGTTCCGAGTGGGTCTCGAACCCAGGTCTCCGGCATGGGAGGCGGGCGCACTAACAAGAAGACTAAAGACTGCAGCCTCTAGCATCTGTCGCAAATAATGGGCCAAATATTGCAATATCAATAAATTACAGTTAATAAATGGCAAAAGGTATCTGTAAGGGGTAACATTAGGGTGGAGTTGTTATAATTAGCTTATATTTAGGATCAAGTCTGTGTGTATTACCTGGAGTTGAAAGTCTATCTTGGTATGTTGGTCTGTGGTCATCGAGCGTCTGCAGCATTACGTACATGGTGAGAGCAAATAATCCAGCCAGGAAAATGTAGAATGCCAGATAAAACAACAGGATCAGACCTACAAGAACACACAAACATTCAAATCCAAACTCTATAAACTCTAAACTTTTCCATAAATGTGAACTGTAATATGCCACTGGAATTTAGCATACTTAGCATCGAAATGCTAAGACTTATTTTAATGGAATTCTTGTTGAAATGAATTTAATAATAGCAATAATAATAATAACAATGCATATTAATTTAAATGAATAAATACAGCTGCATGCAGCAATTATTGGCCTATATTTTGCATGACATTAAGCATTTCTGATGACAGATAAGACAAAATGTCGACCTGGACTACAGATCCAGTCTTTTTTTTTTTTTTTGCCATGATAGTGCCACCAAGTGGCCAAGTCTTCCACATTTGTAATTTGTTCTTAGAGTAAGCCCTTACATTAATGTACAAAGTGATAAGTGATACAAATTTATAAGTCTAGGAGTAGTTCACAAAAGTATGGTTTTATTCTTGATATAAATGAAATTAGAGATATAGAGTTGTGACTTGAGTCCGTAACATACGGTTCTGGTGTTATAGAACAAAACGTTTTCCTTCATTGTAGCTCCTCCTACACGTTATGTACTTTAATAAAAACATGTTTGTAGGGAGTGTTTGTAATAGGACATGGAGAATACTGTGACCATATAACCATAATAACAATTTATGACTATCTTTTGCTCTCTCTCTCTCTCTCTCTGTCTCTCCCTTGCTTCTCGCTCTCCTTCTGCTGATGTAACTGTGAAAAGATACAAGACTAGCAAACCTAATCCTCTTAAATTCTCACCAGAGCACCCGGATCTTCTCTCCTCATTCATACATTTATACATACACATTCACTGCAGCTCTGTCTTACACACATTCATACTTTTACACACTAATGTCCCTTTTACATGAAGTCTGGTAATCCTGTCTGGTAAAAGTGTTGTCTTTGACCAAATTGAATTACTGCAGGGACGATGTGGGTTAAGAGGGGCAAAAAAGGGGAGGGAGGGGAGGTGACAGAAGGAGAAGAAGAGGGCAGATTAAGTCAAAGGGGGATTTTCAGGGAATTTATGGTTTAGAAACACCAGAGTAGCCTACGGTATGTCTGTACATACATTCATGCAAACACCCCCAAATACCCAAATAAAATAATAATTATACTCTAAATTATTATGTCTACACAACTGCACTAAATAGATCTCTATACAGACTAATGAGTTGATATTTATCATACGTAGAAGAATGACAGAATTATGTCAGTGGTTATTTATTCATGAGGTATATAATGTCAGTACAGTAATATGGTGTATAATGTGGTATACTTACAAGCCAGTCTGAAAAGTCTTTGCTGATGTTAATGAGAGAGTATTGATAGGTAATTTCTAGCACAAGAATTTCCCCCCCTCAGATTTTCTCAGATATGGGAAATAAACAAACCTACAAACTTTACATGGGCAGTAGACACGGAGGTTTTTCAGTGTCAAGATTTTTAAAAGTATATATATTGTTGTGTTGCTGGAACTGGTTTTTACCATTTTAAACACATTTTAGCTTTTCGCAATACACTTAAACAGTATGCATATTAAATAAAATAATTTATAAAATTGTCATAAGATGAAAGATTATACACACTACCACTCAATTATTTTTCCAAGAGTGCATTGATTTGATCAAAATACAGTAAAAACAGTAATACTGTACAATATTATTAAAATTTAAAGTGGCTACTTTCTATTTCAACTTTTTTAATATCTGAAAGATCATGTGACACTGAAGATCGGAATAATGGCTGCTGAAAATAAAGCTTTGCCATCACAGAAATAAGTTACATTCTAAATGAATATGCTGATTTGAATCTCAAGAAACATTTCTAATTTTTAACAATGTTGAAAACAGTTGTGCTACTGAAGATTTTAGTGTAAACCATGATAACCAGGACTCTTTGATGAACAAAGTTCAAAAGAACAGCATTTATTCGAAATAGAAAATTTTTGTAACAAATGTCTTTACTGTCACCTTTGATAATTTAATCCATTCCTGCTAAATATTAATTTCTTTAAAAAAAAATACTTACTAACCCCAAACTGTACATTTGGAATTTATATTATACATTAGAAAAATAGTGCTTTAAATTTTTATAGCATGAAGAGAATTGCTGGACTTGTACTCTTTAAAAATTCATGTTAATTACCCGAATACTCTCAGGCAAAAAGGAAAGATTCAGTAACTCATCCATTTGCCCCTGTAATAAGAATGTACTTCCAAACATCTTCACCAACACAATAAATAATTTAGCGTTGCTATTACCTAGAAAATGCTGAGTGCTGAAGGTGCCTGTTTGTATGTGCGTGCTGTAAGTTGTGGTGCACAGCAGTATGCCTGAGGAGAGCTCATTAAAATACAGGACACCTGAGCTTCACGCAGCGAGGCCCCTGGGGACAATCGATCAGGTTGCTCCAGGTTGAAGGGAGGAGGGATACCGGATCTCTGTCCCCCGCTGCATCCTGGAGCTCCCCGCACAGACAGGCTTTGACTGATCAATAACAGCAGTGCAATGTGAGGTTACGCTACAGGATAGAATTACACAGGAGTGTGTGCTAATATGCCTGGAGAGAGTGAAAACGATGCAATGCATGTGCAAGAGAGAAAGTGAGCAAAGATAAGGTAAGAATGTTGCCTTATGCAAGGGATACTAGCAAAGCCCAAATGTTCACATCATTAAGCGCTACTTAATCTCGCAGCAGGACAGCCTCAAAATAACCGCCGTCTCTCCAAATACTCTACCAAATACCTGCATTATCAAACATGACTTGCTCAACTTGATTATGAGGTTAAAACGTGGTACATCCTCATCAGCTGTGCTGGATCTGAGTGTTTACTGCACATGGTGAGACTGATACTATGTCTGTGCTCTTCTGTTTCTTTTTCTGTCTCTCATCATGATGAAAGTCACCCTCCCTCTTTCAACCCTCTAATTTGAACGCAACCTGAAAGAGAGAAGCAGAATGTGCCGCTGTGATCTGCTATTTGCATGTTCACGTTCATTAATACAGACATGAACCCCACAAAACAGTCTCTTTAGATCTGCCCACATCCTTTCAGATTCATCAGTTCCTAAATCCATCAAACCTACCAGGCCACCATACTATCAAACACTTCAGAGGAACTCACACCTGTGATGCAGACAAAGGGAGCCATCTCTGAATATCAATTTCCTGTTATATTTGGCAGGAATAACTGGGTGTACTGGGTGCACATAAATATATAGATAGTAATTATAGACTGATACATCTAAATTATTACTAATAATACTAACAAACATAAGAGTTAGTCAGGTAAAGATTAATAAATAAATAAAAATTAAAAAGGTTCTCGGGGTAATAGTTGCAGATAGCTATTTATTATACTTGATATGAATATTTCTTAATATTTCTTATCAGACCAAAACTTAACTGAAACTACAGCACCACTTTCAGAAGACCTTCATAATATCACTATAATATTGTTGCGGTGTTATCATTATTGTGCCAATTGTTTTGTTCCTTTGTAATTGATTTTAATAGTGGAAAATTAGCAATAACAGGTAACTGTCACGGTGCGTGCGGGGAGATGAAGCGAGGACTCAAGTGCAGGAGGAATGGGTATTTATTTTGATAATAAAATGAAAAAAAACAAAACAAACTCAAACCACCCCGAGGGGGAAAAACAGACAGGCAGGCCTAAAGCTGCACCACATGCAGACATGAAACACACACAATGAGAAATGACGGATCAGCACAGGATGACAGACACCAGGTGAATAAATAGGAACCAAACGAGGAGGCTAACGAGGGAGACACAGGTGGAGCAACTTAAACTATAACAAGGTAACAAGATGGGAGGGGCACGACAATAGACAGGAGAGAGCACATGGCAACAGACAAACACAACACAAGCCATGTGCTCACAGAACACAGTCATCTGGTGGCCCTCCTGGGCACACCCGCTGAAGACTGTGACAGTAACATTACATAATTTCAATTCAAAACAACATTTCATATCCGCATATTTATTTATGATGTGTGTAGCTGTAAAGTGAATGGGATATTATACATTTGAAAAAGAAGATTTAGTTCAAAAAGAGGATCTTTCAAAGCAGTCTATCGTCCAGCTAGAACCAGATTTTTTTCGGATTTGAGAACCGCAGGGTGTAAACATTTTAGTAAATGGTAAATAATTTATTATATTTACTAAAAAAGATGAACTATTTTGTTTACTTGCATATCATCAGAGAACTGTGGACATGCAAATATGTTATTAAATTATTTTAAAAAATTCACTTCAAATCTCAGGGAGTACTTCATGTAAATATTTTATGTCAAAGGGCTTTAGCTGATAAAAAAAAAAGTATTGGAATCTTCTGAACTAGAATATCTCCAGAACTTTTCAAGGTGGTTTGTTTCCAGGAAGCCTCATACTGCTTTGAACAGAGTTTTAAGATCTTCTGCTCTCAAATACTGCAGTGTGAGCTATAAGTCTCAGGAGTGGTTTAGAGATTCAATTACGGCCTGTGCAAGAGTGATGTTTAACAACAAGATGAGACACAGGCTGTATATGATTCTCCAGAGGGCTGAAGTCAAATCAGCTTTAAATGCTTTTATCTGATACTATTGACCCCTCTGTGCCCCAGGGGTTCTGAAAGCAACCCTGGATATGTTTCAATAAGAGACACAGCTGTATGAATGTAGCTGCTGCTTCCACCGTCCTCCAGAGCAATAAGTGCTGGCATACATGGATGTCTTGAGGGCAGTGATCTAGCATTTCTCTCTCTATCTCTCTTTCTCTCACACACACTCACACACACACACACTCTCTCTCTCTCTAACTATCCCAAAGCATTGACAGCTGAGTTACAGATGCCCGAGGGGCACTTTTGGAGTGCTGTAGTTTTAATGCCATCACACCCTGATTAAAAGACACAGTTCAGTTCCAGAATTAATCTACGGCTGTTGAATAGGCTATATATTCACATGATAGCCTCACCAAGGCAACCAATGAGCCTATTAGTAAAGGATTACATCTTACACTAATTCACAAACCCCCACGCACACACACAAAATGGCCCTTGGCTAGATTAAATCATCTCAATGTCACTGCAAAAGACCATTTGTAACAATATACACAGTGCTAAAGGTGTTTAGTGGTTCACTTCTATTGTTAGAAAGACCTTGCACAATTATAAAAGCCAGATTACTTACTAGATTATATGGAAAATTCAAACAGATTTAAACCAAATGGCAGAATGTAAAATTTGACACTCGACTGTAAAAAAAATGTCAGCTGATGATGTTAAAAAACAGTAAGTGTTGGCATTTTGGTGACTGTATTTTTTACAGCTTCTAGTTGTTATTCAATTATATGTTAATATATGGGCCTATGTGAACTATTAAAATGAGTTTGCTGTGTGTTTCATGCACAGATAATGATACAGATGGCACACTGAGGCTTATAGCTGATCAAAATGGGCCTCTCTATCAGCTGTCAGGGTAAACATTAATTAAATAAGGTAGAATACAATAGAGAGCAACTGCTACAAAAAGCAAGAAAATTTTGAGCAAGGAAATGTTTTGAATTTCCCTATTAATTAAAAAGTGATTCATACTTTGAACAAAAACATAACTTATACTATATTTTACAATACATGAATTGCCTTGTTAAATATATAATAAAGCATACGGTGTACTGAAAACATTTTAATAACATTATACAGAAAAATACATGTTTCGTCAATTAAATTCTACTTTTTTCTAGTATTTAACATATTTTTTTTTACTGCAGCACTTCAGCATTCTTTGCAGTTAAAATTACTGCTGTTCTTTACAGAAAGTGGTGCAGGGAATACTGATGTGTGCTAGTCTCTATTCAGACATTCTACTTGAAGCGCATTGTGTAGTTTTGCAGGGACTCGACGCATCACATTTCTCCACGCTGTTCATTGGCTGATGCGGCGTATTTAACATTTCTTCCCGCAAAGTCCATCATAACACAATAATCAGTTATCTGGATTTGTCGATAGACATCAGATTTCGTAATTTGACTAAGATAATCACATCATGCATTAAGTTTTACAGCTGCGTAAACACGCGGAGGAGAAAAGCAAACGCATGTGACGCACTACAGCCGCACTAACTGGCGTTTCAGCACCTCGGACAGCGATCCGTCTCTCCAGTGAACTTCTCTGCACTGATAGAGTGAGACTCGCTAACTATTGCAGCGCAGTATTTATTATAACTGCAAAATAATTGCACACTTATTAGCATTTGTGCATGCGTGAAATCCTGTCGATGCTGTGCAAACTTACCCCAACTGCTCGCGGTCCTCCCGCAGAACTCGCGCGTTCTCGGGTTCCAGAAGAACTCCTTCCACGCGTTCTTCTTATCATCCTTTGCCATTTTCCTGGACGAAATAAATGTGCACTCACAGAGTCAACGCCTCGGGGCTAACACTCTCTTTGAGAGTAATAAAAAGCTATTCCACGCTTGAATAGTGTGGAGAAAGGGTTAAAACGATCTTTAAGGTCTCAATAGAAAGCTTTGTTTAATGAAAAACTGGATAAAAGCGATTCTCAAGGCACTATGCCGAAACCTGAGCACTCAAGCGAGGACTGAGTGAGAGCAGTGTAACGCCCGGCGTTCTGCCCACCCACAAATGCAGTGAGCACTCCGCAGAGAGACAGAGCGAGCGAGCGAGAGAGAGAGAGAGCAGTGCAGCACTAATGTGTCGATACTGCAGTAAAACCATCTCTACCTGCTCAGCCCCGATCACCCCCACCCCGAAAAAAGCCCCTCCTTTAGCAAAACCCAAGTCACTTCTTGGCGTGGCGTTTCCATTGCTGTTCCTTGCAAAGACTCCCAATGGCCTCAGATTGTAAGATGCACTGTAAAAACAATCTTGGATCAAGTAAATAATACTGAAAATAAAATCTACTTGATTGTTGTATTACAGCTAATGTAAACCAAACAAGTAATGTATCTTGATGCTGTTTTTCAAGATACAAGATATTTTCTGTTTCTGTTTTCAGGATATTTTCTGTTACAAGATACATAGGCTGATCTTCAACAAGCATTACAGGTGAGTTGGATTAATGCATTCATTTAGTTCAGACAGATCTACATTAAAAATAATTTGTTTAATTGGTATTTGGGTATAATTAGTTAATGTGGCTAGATTGTTTGGCTACTCAGCAGTTTTATTGGTAATGCTATTGATTTTATTACGTTCGATAACTTGTCTTTGTCACGCCCCTGGACTCTTTGTGTTGTGTTTTCCCTCCCCAGGTGTGCTGTGTTCCCTTTAATTAGTCATTCCTTGCACCTGTGTTTTCCCAATCACCCAGTGTTTAAAAGCCCCAGTCATTTCAGTTAGTGTTTGTCGGTCCTCGAATGTCATTCCATGTGTTCCTGTGTCTCCTACGTTCCCCGTGTGATCATTAAAGACTGTGAATTGAAGTATCTCCATGTTTCCTCGTTCCTCGCTCCTTGCCTCCCGAGAAGTGTGACAATAATATAATATAATATAATTAGTGGTGGAAAGAGTACTAAGAAATTGTACTTAAGTAAAAATATTGCTACTTAAGGAATAATTTACTTGAGTACAAGTAAAAGTACTGAAAAATAATATGACTCAAGTAAGAGTAAAAAAGTAGTATCTCCGTGTTTCCTCGTTCCTCGCTCCTTGCCTCCCGAGAATTGTGACAGTCTTATGATGTCAAGAACCACTTAATATAGATGGGTAATTTTTTTTTAAATGACTGCAGATTAATGGCGACTTGACATTTTAAGTTCAGTCAAGGCATTTGCATTAAATAACTAAACTTAATTATGCTCAGTATATAGCTAAATAATAATTTAATTTAATTTTAAAAACATTAAGAAAATGTTTAATTTTGGTTTTAATTTCACAGATTTTACAAAAATGTTACAGATTTTACAGTGCAAAATTAAGCTAATTAAGGCAAATGATACTACTGGCAAGTGCCAAGCAATCTTTTTCTTTTTTCTTTTAATCTAAATAACCATATAATTTATATTTCTGATGCTCTGGACAGATCCTCCTGATCCTTCCTGAAGCATAACTCCAGCTGTTAAAGAACCAGTCTACCTCTTAAACTTCCCCTCAGCACTCAATCTGTATATGTTTCAATGACTGGTACTACTTGATAAATCTGTCACATCACAACAGTCAAATAACGTCTGTAATGATGTTCAAGATCAATGACAGGTTAGAGCCTACAATATAGAAGACCTGTAGAAAGAGAGAACTTGTACAAGAGCTTCATCTATGATACAGGACATCAGTGAAGAGCAAATCAGTCAACACAATTCAGCAACAGACTGTTGTTACAGCTCCCTGTATTCATGATGCTGACACATGTGTAAGAGTCCAAAGAGCTGACAACGACGTCTTGTAATGTGAAAAGCTGCATAATTTGTTAGAAACAAATCCATCCGTAAGGGATTTTAACTTTAAACCATCACTTCTGGCTGAAAGACAAGTCCATAAGTACATCCCCTGTTGTCCTCTTACGAATTTTTTTTTTTTTTAACTGGAGAAAGCAATATTATGGATAGAGGACCTCTTTGTAGTTAAAAAAGATCTTTATGTATTTTTTACAAACAGGTTTTCACATTGCAACACATTGATGGACTGATGTCACATGGATTACTTGTGAATTATTATAATGCTTTTATCAGCTATTTGGACTCTCATTCTGACGGCACCCATTCACTGCAGAGGACCCACTGGTGAGCAAGTGATTTAAAGGGGTCATATGATGCGATTTAAATTTTTCCTTTCTCTTTGGAGTGTTACAAGCTCTTGGTGCATAAAGAAGATCTGTAAAGTTGCAAAGACTAAAGTCTCAAATCCAAAGAGATATTCTTTATAAAAGTTAAAGGGGTCATATGATGCTGCTAAAAAGAACAGTATTTGGTGTAATGAAATGTGTTTATGCTACTTTGTTTGGTCTTCCAAAAGAGGACACGACTAGAAATCAGTGGTTAAGTTGTATTTACAACATTGTTCCAGAACACTTCAACCCAAATATTCAGATGTGTGCAGCACATTTTATGGAGGACCGTTTCCTGATCCTGGTAGAGTAGACTACAATGCCGGCTGTTCTGACTTACAGTACGTTTGTTACACCGTACATACTAACGTATGTAAGTACGTTTTTTATATTTAAAGAGTTTTTATATTTTTTATTTTTTATATTTAAAGCGAGTTTTTTGGGCAGTGTAGAGTAGGGCTTGTTGTTTGTCATTTCTCCGATCACAAATGCAGACATGGTTTTATGTTTACTTAGCGTGATGCAACGCAACGCGTAAAAAGACAGTATAAGTCATTATAATCAGTAATTATGTCCCCTGGATGCAACGAATGCCTAATTTATAATGGGTTTTCATGTTTTTGAATCATCGCTCCGGCCTGACAGGGCATCACAGTATGGTAGGGGCGTAACATTTCCGTCACACGCTTGAGGTATTCGACCAATCACACCACACTGAATGGCTGGCCAATCAGAGCACACCTCGCTTTTCAGACCGATGAGCTTTGTAAAAATCGACGCGTTTCAGAAAGGCGGGGCATAGAGGAGCAACAATAATGTACAGTATGTGGAAAATAATGTGTTTTTTGAACTTTAAACCGCATAAACACATTTCATTACACCAAATAAGCAACATCATATGACCCCTTTAATGCTAAGTTTTCTAAATCTGTTCCGATGAAGCAACAAACTAATCTACATTTTGGATGGCCTGAGGCTGTGTACATTTCCAGCAATTTTTCATTTTTCGGTGAACTATTCCTCAAAGAAGAGAAAGGGAATGAATAAAACATAACCACATTAGAATATACAAGCAGATATTCCATTGATTGTATGTTAAGGAGGTCTGCAGGACAAGAAGACATTAAATCCATGTACATTGCAACAGTTTCTTTCATTCCCTCTCTCTCTTTCTCTCTCACTCACTCACACACACACACACACACATACTGTTATTCGCACATGTATTTTAGGTTCATCATATAAAATTTATTTCATGACGATATCAATGCAAATATAGCACTACAGTGATTTCCAAGGTACACCGTATCTTACCATACCAATATATTATGGCACTCATAATATGGCCACCGTTTATGTAGACACGCAAAGCCGACAGTTTCTGTAAACTAGTTTACCCAATAATACTTACAGTAAGTTACCCTTTTCATCTTAATAAATTGCCACTAGATGATTATTTAGTATATCTGAAGTACAAACTGGGCACAATTTATATAGACTGGGACACAGCCCAACCTTGAACTGAATGATTAAGGGAATCCATCAAGAACTCCCAGCATGCATTGCACCAGCCCTCTACTGTGGTCCTCCGTGCTGTTTGATAAAGACTGTATTTCAAATGGCCACCGGGTGGTGCAGTGAAACCCTGGTGTTGTGGTGACAACATGTCAAACCCTTGGCAACATCACTGCAATGTTGCCATCACATTTACAGTAGTGTTGCCAGGGTGAGAACTGTACAGGGTGGTGGTGCTAACTATTCGGAAAAACAACAACAACAACTTTTAAATACAACCACAACAACAACTGAGAAACATTTAATTGCCAACAGTTACAAAAGATTCCACTCCTTAAAACTCCATCGCATGATCTCCAAAAAAAAAAAAAAAAAAAATCTCAAAGAGCACTCAAAAGAATGAAGAAGAGAAATAAAGCAACAGCAGTGAGGGATACGTAAGCAATAGTAGAAATTCAATATAGCAGCAGAAGTACTTCAAAAATATCCAACTGATATTCCAGCGAGCCGGGTGGAGTGTGTTGGTGAGGTCATGAATGTGATCAGACTTAAGTTGCTTAAAGGGACTTGCATGACACTAGCCGGAAAAAGACATTGGTTGGTTGGTGTGTGTGTGTGTGTGTGTCTGAGACTGTGCCTTTAGTAGAGAGGGCTCGCCTTTCAGCGGTCTATTCAGTACAGTGTAGACAGGTAGCCACAGATAAAACTACTAAATTTCTTTATAAAACAATTAAACACCTTGTACTTTTATACATTATATGCTACAATATATTTATTGATTACAAGTATGAAAGTGGAAATAATTGCTACATTATCAATACAGTTGTACATGTTTATTTTACAGATTTTAACAAGTGTTTTTTTCTTCTCGTTTAATCTCGATGTCATGTGGTTCGCTTTCTTTTGTGTGGAAAAAAGTTCCAGCATCGGTCTGAGGAGCGCCGCTGCGTGTTCATTTTTCTCAGCAGGGTGCTGCGAGTGTGTGCGTTTCTGTATATGCATGTGCGCATGAGCATTGGACAGTGTGAAGAGGTGAAGTTTGCTCCAAAACTGATTTCTCTTTAAGGTTACTGGACTGCTCAATCTGTATGATAAGAGCTTTTATATACGTTATTATATCTTATTAATCGACATTGTAACCCCAATTGATTGACACATGAGACTATGCTGCCAAAAAGACTGAAAAATACAGTTAGGCGTTAGCTCCGGATATGCTCAGATACAGATTAAATGTAAACAAATGAGTTAATATGGTGGTCCGACAGTTTTTAGGTGAACACAATGGCACCTCGTGTTAACGCAGCCCGTGCATTGGTCCTCAGTCTATTTCCTAT